CCGCCTAGCTCGGTGTCGAGGTCAGGCGCGCTGGTCATATAACCTGTTTTATCCCAATTGACTTTGAGAAGTTTACTTTCTAGGCCGGCCACGAGCTCCATCATAGCCGAAGGTTAACTACATTCTGAAACCTAACCTGCGGATAACGATACTGCAGCGTCTTAATCAAGGTGTGGACCAATAACTTGGCCAATGCGAGGGCGTTGCTGCAGCCTGCTGCTACGGTGCCGTTTGCTACCATGGGTTCAGAAATGATCGCCTCCCAGACCGCTCTACGCGGCAGGCGATAACTATAACACAAACATCTAAGCAGCGCCACTGGGAATCCCGTGAGGAGCGCCTCCTGGAAGAGGTCTGCGTGCGAGATATGCTCGTAGTACTTTGACAGGTCCAAAAGCCCGCTAACAGCCGAACAACTTTTTAAACGAGCAAATCTCTGGATGATATTGTGCACGTGACCCGCGCGATCGCAGGTGAGCCCCGTGGACCCCCAAAAATGCGAATTATCAAGGGAGAGCTCCCAACGTCTGGCCACGGGCTGCCGGAGCCTCGACCAAACTCTACCCCAAATCGACGCCAGCACGATGGGCCTAACACCTCCCGCGGGAGCAGGTTTCCCGAGGCAGAAAATCAAAAGCATCCAGAGGTCCAGGGCCTCAGGAGGAGGAGGAGGAGGAGGAGGAGGAGGAGGAGGAGGAGGAGGAGGAGGAGGAGGAGGGGAGGAGGGGAGGAGGAGGAGGAAGGGGAGGGGTGGAGGAGTGGGAGGGGAGGGGGGGGGAGGTGTGAGGAGGGGCAGGAGGGGGAGGAAGAGGAGGAAGAGGAGGAAGAGGAGCAGGAGGAGGAGGAGGAGGAGAAGGAGGAAGAGGAGGAGGAGGGGGAGGAGGAGGAGGGACCAGTGCAAACCCAAAATTCATGAACGATGTTGGAATTTACCCTTCCTCCAAGCTCCCTCTTCATAGGCCCCTACAAAGATTCTATAGGCTTACGCCACATCCGCCGACCCCTCATCTTGGCGGTCTTGCCGGAACCTCGGGTTCACAGCCCGCAGTTGCCAGGCGTATCAGTGCGGCGGCGCGTGCAAGAGAAGACTACCGACGTCGGCGTTCTCCGGGAACCCTGCCAACGTCGCACGCGATGCAAAAAAGGGCACCCTGATATGCAAGACCTGCAAATGATGCCCAATCGGGGGCGCGCGTGCGTGGGAGGACAGGGGGGAGGGGGAGAGAGGGATGGGGGGTGAGGCGGAGGATGGGGGGAGAAGAATCGGGGAGGAAGAGGAGGAGGCGGGGGAGGAAGAGGAGGAGTGGGCGAGGAGGAGGTGGAGGAGGAGGAGAAGAGGGGGAGGACGGGGACACAGAGACGAAACTCTGGGATATGTGCTATTGGTTAGAAACTTGTTGTATGTGTATAGGGATCTCGCGGCACGCCTCTCGGGGACCTTTGGAAAGCAGTTTTGAACCCACCTGGCGGCCGAGGTGGAGGAGGAGGAGGAGGAGAAGGAGGAAGGGGACACAGAAACAAGGCTCTGGGTTATGGGTTTTGGGTTAGGGCCGTCTTGCACCAGCTTGGGACCAATTTGGAGACAGGTTTTGCCGTCTTGGGGTCGTCTTAGGCCGAATTGGGAGGCGTCCTGGGCCGTGTTGGGATTCTCTGGGGCCGTCTTGAGGCCCTCTTGGGGCGCCGTGGGGCGATCTTGGAGGCTCTTTGGGCTACGTGAGCCGACGGAAGCCGGGAAAGGCAACAATTGCAAACATGTTCAACAACGCAATGGAAATGTAATGAAATGCGTAATGTGCGCCTCTTTCAGATGTCCTGGGGGTCTTCTTGGAGACTTCGTGGGCGATAGTGAAAGCCTTGTCGGCCATCTTGAGGCCATTTTGGGCCGTCTTCGAACGTTCTTGGGCCGTGTTGGAGCCATCTTGGGCCGTTTTGGAGCCATCCTGGGCCGTTTTGGAGCAATCTTGGCCTCGAGAGCGCGAATCATTTTTTTGTGCGCAAACGCAACCCCGCCACCGTGCCTGGGTTGTTGATATGAGACTTGTGCGGTGATCGTTGGGATCTCTTGGGGGGCTTTTCGCGGGACTCTTGGAGGCAGTTTCGAAGCCTCTTGGGGGCCGTTTTGGAGCCTCTTGGGGGCCTCTTGGGGCCTCTTGTGGGCGTCTTGGGGGCCTCTTGGGGCCTCTTGGGGCCTTCTGGGGCCGCCTTGGGGCGGAAGGCTCGGATTGTCGGTTCGGGCTCCCCCTCTTGGGCACCTCTTGGGGCCGTCTTGGGGCCCTCTTGGGCTGTCTTGGGGGCCTCTTGGGCCGTCTTGGCGCCCTCCTGGGCCGACTTGGGCGCCTCTTGGGGGCCTCTCGGGGCGGTCTTGGGGTGCTCTGGGACCGTCTTCAACGCCGTGAAGGCCGAGAAGTAGTATGTGATCAAAATGTACGTTTTCCCATAGGAATTGACGATTTTCGGCGCTTCGGCCCTTCTGAGGACTGCTCTTGGAGGCGTCTTGGGCCGTCTTGGAGGCCTCTAGGCTCGTCTTGGGGGCATCTTGGGCGTCTGGGAGCGCTCGTTTGGCGCCTCGGAGCTCTCGTGAGCCGTCTTGGAGGAGTCTTGGGGCCTTCTTGGCCCGTCTTGATCCCCTTTTGGGCCCAAAAGAGCCCCGTGGTGCGCTCGTCTGCGGCCCGGGGGGGGGGGGTCAAATCTCCGGTTTGGGGTCCCAGGGGGGGGGTTAGGGGGGGGGAACTATCTCACACGCCTAGAGACCCACAAGGGGTCGGCGGATTCATTTCCACTGGGGGACGTGCCCCGTTGGGAGACGACCGTTTGAAGATCCTGAAGCGTGCCAAAACACCATTCCCATGACCTCAACGCCACGAATCAACGTGACTGTTGCGTCTTGACGATCCTGAGCCGTGCCAGAACACCGTTCCCGGGACTTCAACACAACGAATCAAGGTGACTGTTGCGCCCTGACAATCCTGCATCGCTCCAGTGTGCCGTTTCTGGTACGTTAACCATGAGGGCCAGTGAAGCCCTTGCGAATGTTTGAGACGAGTGTGCGGCGCTAAGGCGAGAGCGACATGTTTGAAAACGAGCCGCCCTCAGTCCGTGAATGTCTTGCAAAGTCTTAGAACGAATGTGCGCAGTGCTAAAGGGAGATCCACATTTTGAAAACGAGCCGCCCTCAATCCGTGAAGTTCTTGCAATTCGTTAAAACGAATGTGCGTCAGGCGGGAACCACATTTTGAAAACGGCCTGTCCTCAATCCGTGAAGCCCTTGCAGTTTTTTTGAAAGAATGCGCGCGGCGCAAAGGCGACAGCCACATGTTGAAAACCACTTGTCCCCATCCGCGAAACTCTCGCAATTGGTTGAAAGGAATGGGCGCGGCGCTAAGGCGAGAGCCACATTTTGGAAGCGAGCCTCCCTCTACTTGTGAAGCTGTTGTCAGCTGTTCAGCTTGAGGCTCATAGTTGGTAAGGAGTCTCAGGCGAAACGCCAGGCCCGCCCTCCCGACAGGCCTCGGGGTGTGACAGGGAGGAGATATTCATAAGGAACAGGAGCGGAGGAGGAGGAGGAGGAGGAGGAGGAGGAGGAGGAGGAGGAGGAAGAGAAGGAGGAGGAGGAGGACGAGGAGGAGGGACCAGTGCAAACCAAAGACTCATCGGAGCTCTCTGCTCATAGGCCCCGGCAAAGATTCATTTCCACTGGGGGAAGTGCCCCGTTGGGAGACAACCGTTTGAAGATCCTGAAGCGCGCCAAAACATTATTCCCATGACTTCAACGCCACGAATCAACGTGCCTGTTGCGTCTGGACGGTCCTGAGTCGTACCAAAACAACCTTCCTGGGACTTACACCGCGAATCAACGTAACTGCTTCGCCTGACAAGCGTGAATCGTTCCAAAACACAGTTTCTCGTACGTTCGCCAATTTAAACTCCGGCGAAGTCTTAGAACGAATGTGCGCGGCGCTAAGGCGAGAGCTGCATGTTGAAAGTGAGCCACCCTCAATCCGTGAAGGTCTTGCACATTTTTACGAATGCGCGCGGCGCTAAGGCGAGAACCACATTTTGAAAACGAGCCACCTTCAATCCGTAAAACTTTTTCATTTTTATTTTTAAGAACGAATGTGTGCGGCGCTAAGGCGAGAGCCGTACTTTGAAGACGAGCCGCCCTTCATGTGTGAAATTCCTGCAGTTCTTTAAACGGAATTTGCGCGGCGCTAAGACGAGAGCCACACTTTGACAGCCACCTGTTCTCAATCCGCGAAGTTCTTGCAGTCTGTTCGAACGAATGTATGTTGCGCTAAGGCGAGAGCCACATGTTGGAAGCGACCATCCGTGAAACTGCTGCCAAATCTTGAAGCTTGAGGATCAGAGATGGTAAAGAAGTCTTTTGCGAAAAGCCGAGCCCGCCCTTCCGACTGACCTCGGAGTTCGACGGGGAGGAGTTATTCACAAGGAAAAAAGAATGGAGGAGAAGGAGGAGGAAGAGGAGGAGGAGGAGGAGGAGGGGGAGGAGGAGAAGTGGGAGGAGGGGGAGGAGGAGGTGGAACAATCAGGAGGAGTAAGAGGAGGCCCCCGTCGTCGCCCTCGTCGGTCCCACCAGCAGCCAGATCGGGCCATCTTCAGAATGACTCTTCCCTGCCCTCCAAGCGGGTGTGCGCAGGGAGGCGGCAAAGGCCGCATCACCATGAAACAAAAGTCAAAGGCCCACAGCCGCAGGACAGGAAGGCGAGGAGGAGGAGGAGGAGGAGGAGGAGGAGGAGGAGGTGGATGTAGAGGTAGATCAGAAGGAGGGAGGAGGAGGGGAGGTGGAGGTGGAGGTAGAGGTAGAGGGAGGGAAGGAGGAGGAGGAGGAGGAGGAGGAGGAGGAGAGGAGGAGGAGGAGGGAGGAGGAGGGGAGGAGGAGAAGGAGGAGGGGGGCGAGGTGGAGAAGGATCGAGGATCGCGTATCAAAGGTAGAGGACCCATCGTCGAGATCCAGTTTTGCCCCTGTCCTGGCTTCGTCTTAGGCGACGGCGCGGCGGCCAAGAGGCCCCGGCTTGCCGACGGCGAGGGCGCGAACGCCGCGCTGCGGCCGCTGCTCGTGAGCCTGCACGCCGCGTTGCACGGGCCGGCCCTGGCCTGCTGCTTCAAGGCCCAGATCTCCGACGATCCGCCCTCCTCCTCCTCCTCCTACCTCCTCCTCCTCCTACCTCCTCCTCCCCTCCTCCTCCCCCCCTCCTCCTCCTCCTCCTCCTACTCCTCCCTCCTCCTCCCTCCTCCTCTCTCCTCCTCCCTCCTCCCCTCCTCCTCCTCCTCCCCCTCCTCTCCTCTCCTCCTCCCCTTCTCCTCCTCCTCCTCCTCCTCCTCCTCCTCCCTCCTCCTCCCTCCTCTCCTCCTCTCTCCTCCTCGTCCTCCTCCTCTTCTCCTCTCCTCCTCCTCCTCCTCATCTCCTCCTCCTCCTCCTCCTCCTCCTCCCCCCCCTCCTCCCCACATCCGCCGACCTCTTTGATTTCGTCGGGGGCCTCACATCGAAGGGCCCTCGGCCCGTCCCGCCATCGTGCGTAGGTTTTGGGTCGGAGTCCTCAGGGATGCCTCTTGAGGTTCGCAGCGCTGTCGAGGGCCTGTGTGTTGCGGGGGGGGAGTTTGGGGGCCGTTTGGGAGTTTCTTGGGGGCCTCTTTGGAGGCTCTTGGGGGCTCTTGGGGGCCTCTGGGGGGCCTCTGGAGGGCCTCTCGGCGCCTCCTGGGTGCCTCTCGAAGCCGAGGGCTCGAACTGTCCGTTCTGGTCCTGCGTCAGGGCCCTCCTCTTGGAGCCGTCTTGGGGGCGTCTTGGGCCGTCTTGGTCACCTCTTGGGCCGTCTTGGGGCCCTTTTGGGCCGTTTTGGGGCCCTCTTGGAGGCCTCTTGGGCCGTCATGGGGTCGGGAAGCGGAAAAGGCGAGAACGCCAAAATCCTTCAAACACATGTGGAGTGGATACTCACTGTTTTTTGCTTCTTGGACCCTCTTGGGAGGTCTCTTGGAGGCGTCTTAGGGCGTTTTGGGGGCATATTGGGCCGTCTCGTCTGGAGGCCATCCTGGGCATCCTGGAACGATCTTTCGGTGAGTCGGGGCCCTCTAGGACAGTCTTGGGGCCCTCTTGGCTCGTTTTTGGGCCCTCTATCCCCCCATGGCCCGTTCCTCTAGGGCCAGGGGAGGGGTCGAATTGCCGGTTTGGGGTACCTGGACAGGGGGAGTTATGGGGGGAGGAACAATCGCACACGCCTGGAGACCCACAAGGGGTCGGCGGATTTGTTCGTGGGTTCCCAGTTGTTTTCGGGCATCTTCGGCGGTTCCCAGAGGTTCCCCCGCTTCAGCACGCTCTTCAGCGGCTGCGCTCCGTCGAGAGCATGCCTGGGTTGCCCAGATCGCCCCGCACGGGCCCGAGCTTGGGCCCGAAAGCCGCGGGGCAGAGCTCCGAGGATCCGGCAGGTTCATGCGGCGTTGGCGCGCTGGCGACGCTGGCGAAGGCGTTCAAGGTTGAAGTCTGTGACGCGGAAGCACCGAGGTACGCGGTAACGCCACTCGACCCGACGGAATTCAACCTTGAACGATCGGGGCCGCGATCGATTCAAGGTTGAGCGATCGACGCGGTGTCAAAACCTTATGCACGCCAACGCCGCTCGAACCTACCGAACGGTTTTTTCAGTCTGGGCGTTTTTCCTCGGTTTCGGCCTCCAGGGCCCGTTATCGGGCCATGGGGCCAAATATGGATCCGGGGCGAGGGCCTCAAAGAGAGCCCTTCGTGGGGCCCTGGGGGCTGGCGACAGAACGGTACCCGTGATGAGAAGCTGGTCTCGGGGACAGGTTGTCGAAGCTTCTGGGGCTCCGCGTAGTGAACCAGATCACGGCGTCCACAGTCAAGACGCTGAAATAAGGAACAGAGGGGCTCGATGTCCCTCAGGTTTTTCCGTGGCTGTTTCTCTAGCCCTCCTCATGCACGCATGCGCTTCTGCGGCCAAGAAGGGGGCTCCTTATTGATCGTTCCTTCTTTCAGCAGCCCGACTGTAGGGCTTGTTGTGGCCACCATGGGGAAAGAGGTCTTGGAGTTGCTGCGCCGTTTTCAGGCTCCCCGGACCTTGGAAAGCTGAGGATTCCAGGGCCTGTTTCTGCTAGGACCCTTTCCCTCGTGCCAAGGTGGGGGGCGCGAGGCCAACAAAAATGGGGGCTGTGCTCCTCACCAGCAGGCTGCAGTTACTTTGCGCTCAGGTCCTGCTACTATTCCTACTGCGACTGATACTATTACGAGTACTATTACTACTACTATTACGACTGCTAGTGCTACTTGTAGTCTTACTCTATCAGTAATACCTAGTCAAATCTGAAGACCTACTACTAGTACTACCGGGTTAAAGGGTGGCCCCGTGCCTTTCTGGCGCGCGTCCCCCTCATGGCCGTGCAAGAGGAGGAGGAGGAGGAGGAGGAGGAGGAGGAGGAGGAGGAGGAGCAGGAGCAGGAGGAGGAGGAAGGAGGGATGATGATGATGCTGATGATGCTGAGGATGATGCTGCTGATGATGATGCTGCTGATGATGAGGATGATGATGATGCTGATGATGGTGATGATGATGAGGATGAGGATGCTGCTCCTGCTGCTGCTGATGCTGCTGCTGCTGATGCTGCTGCTGCTGCTGCTGATGATGATGATGATGATGAGGAGGACCAGTGTAAACCCAAGAGTCATCAACGATGTTGGGGTAAACCCTCCCTCCAAGCTCCCTCTTCATAGGCCCCTACAACGGTTCATTTCCATTGATGGAACTGCCTCGTTGGAAGACGCCCGTTGGAAGACCCTGAAGCATGCCAATACATTGTTCTCGGAATTTCAACGCCACGGATCAACCTAGCTGTTGCGTCTTGACCATCTTGAACCGTGCCAGAACGCCATTCCTAGGATGTCAACACAGAAAATCAACGTAACTTTTGCACCAGCATAATCTTGAATCCTTCCAAAACACCATTTCTGGTACGTTGATGATGGTCATCCGGGAAACTTCTGCAAACATTGTAAACGAATGTGCGCGGCGCTAAAGCGGGAGCCACATTTTGAACAGAAGCCGCCCGCAATACGTGAACCTCCTGCAATTTTGCAAATCGCATGTGCGCGGCGCTAAGACGAGAGCCATCTTTTGAAAACGATCCGCCCTCAATCCTTGAAGCTCTTGCAATTTTTCTAGACGAATGTGCGCGGCGCTCAGGCGAGAACCGCATTTTGAATTGCCTCGTTGGAAGTTACCGTTTGACGACCCTGAAGCATGCCAAAACATTTTTCTCGGGGTCTCAACGCCACGTATCAACCGGACTGCTGCGTTCTGGCGATCCAGAATCGCGCCATAACGCCATTTTTGAGAGTCCAACACCGCGAATCAACATAACTGTTGCGCCCGCATAATCCTAACATTTTCCAAAACACCATTTCTGGTACGTTGATCATGGGGATCCGTGAAACTCGTTGATCATGGGAACCCGTGAAATTTTTGCAATTTGTTAAAACGAATGTGCGCGGCGCAAAGGCGAGAGTCACATTTTGAAAAGGACCCGTCCTCAATCCGTGAAGCTCTTGCAATTGTTGTAAACGAATGTGCGCGGTGCTAAGGCGAGAGCCTTTTTTTAAAAAGAAGCCGCCCGCAATCCGTGAAACCGGTGCAATTTGTGTAAACGAATGTGCGCGGCGCCAAGGCGAGAGCCACATTTAGAAAACGACCCGTCCTCAATCCGTGAAGCGCTGGCAAATTTCGAAGACTAATGTGCGCGGCGCAAAGGCGAGAGTCACATTTTGAAAAGGACCCGCCCTCAATCCGTGAAGCTCTTGCAATTGTTGTAAACGAATGTGCGCGGCGCTAAGGCGAGAGCCACTTTAAAAAAAGAAGCCGCCCGCAATCCGTGAAACTGGTGCATTTGTGTAAACGTTGCGCGGCGCTGAGGCGAGAGCCACATTTTGAAAAGGACCCGCCCTCAATCCGTGAAGCTCTTGCAAATTTTGAAAACGAATGCGCGCGGCTCTAAGGCGAGAGCCACACTCTGGAAGCCACCCGCCCTCCATCTGTGACGCTGTTGCCACTTTTTAAGCTTCAGAGTCATAAGCGGTGAGGAGGTCGTAAGCGAAACGCCCGGCCCACCCTAAAAACTGGCGTCGGGATGCGGCAGGGAGAAGTTATCTATAAGGAGACGGAATGGATGAGGAGAAGGGAAGAGGGAGGAGGAGGAGGAGGAGGAGGAGGAGGAGGAGGAGGAGGAGGAGGAGGAGGAGGAGGAGGAGGAGGAGGAGGAGGAGGAGGAGGAGGAGGAGGAGGAGGGAGGAGGAGGAGGAGGAGGAGGAGGAGGGAGAGGAGGAGGAGGAGGAAGGAGGAGGAGGAGGAGGAGGGAGGAGGAGAGGAGGAGGAGAGGAGGAGGAGGAGAGGAGGAGGAGAGGAGGAGGAGGAGGAGGAGGAGGAGGAGGAGGAGGAGGAGGAGGAGGAGGAGGAGGAGAGGAGGAAGGAGAGGAGGAGGAGGAGGAGGAGGAGGAGGAGGAGGAGGAGGAGGAGGAGGAGGAGGAGGAGGAGGAGGAGGAGGAGGGGAGGAGGAGGAGGAGGAGGAGAGGAGGAGGAGGAGGAGGAGGGAGGAGGAGGGAGGAGGAGGAGGAGGAGGAGGGAGGAGAGAGGATGAGGAGGAGAAGGGAAGAGGGAAGGAGGAGGAGGAGGAGGAGGAGGAGGAGGAGGAGGAGGAGGAGGGAGGAGGAGGAGGAGGAGGAGGAGGAGGAGGAGGAGGAGGAGGAGGAGGAAGAGGGGGAGGAGGAGGAGGAGGAAGAGGAGGAGGGGCGCAGGAGCGAGACGCAAGCGGGGTGCAGCGGCGCTGGAGCGTGGTTGTGGACTCGAGCGGCGTGCACTCCACGGAGGGCACCCCCGTGGTGCACAGGCCGAAGGACCGACCGGACGAGGGGCCACGGTGAGCAGAGCAGTATGAACGGGGGGGAAGAGGGTGGAGGAGGGTGGAGGGAGGGGGAGGGAGGGGAGAGGGAACAAGCTAGGTGCGCTCGCGTCATATCTGACATCCTAGCCCTCCCTCCCATCCCTTACCATGGCGTAGATCCCCTCTCTACTCGCACAGTCGGATGTCGAGCAGGGCAATGATCCCGAAAGGGTACGCGATGCATTGTAGAACACGGCATGGTATGGCGTAGAAGAGCACCGCAAAGCGTAGTATGTCACAGCATGGCGTGGCGTGGCGTAGTGAAGAATTGCAACACAAAGCTTTGCAACGCAAAGCATGGCATCGCACAGCGGCCCCGAACATAACATTGCACAGCATGGCGTTGAAGATCAAAGCGTAGCATGGCATAGCACGACGTGGCACTTAAGCACTGCATATCACAGCTTCAGCTGAAGGCATGGCATCACGCAGCGGAACGCAACCTAGCATTGCATTGCATCCCGTGGCATGGCACGGGAAATGACGCCAGCGCTGCAGCGGGAGCACGATTCGGAACGAGCGGAAGCGCGGAAATGAGGCCAGCGCTGCAGCGGGAGCACGATTCGGAACGAGCGGAAGCACGGAAATGAGGCCAGCGTTGCAGCGGGAGCACGATTCGGAACGAGCGGGGCCCGAAAATGAGGCCGGCGCCTCAGCGAGAGCAGCATTTTGAAACAAATGCAAGCGAAAACCCAATTCCGGGGAATCCTGTGTGTAAAAAAACATTACGCGGGGGGGGGCGAACACTCCCAACCCGTCATCAGGGGAAGGAGGAGAGTAGTATTCATATTGAGTAATTGTAAAGAGGAGCAAGGCGAAGGAGGAGCGGAACTAACATAATTGTTCATCTGTTCGCCATTATCGGTTGCCAGGCTCCCCTATGTCCTCCTGCCCCTCCTCCCCTTCCTTCCCTTTTCCTCCTCCTCCCCCTCCTTCTCCTTTCCTTATTACTCCTTCCTTTGCCTTCACCTCCTGCAACCTCCAGAGACCGTCGGCAAACATCATACCATCTGTATGTACGTATGTATGTATGTACGTATGTATCATGTATATATGCATGTATGTGTATATACATATGTATACACACATAGTGGACACCTTCGGAACACCTCCGAACGTCTCCTCCCCCCTCTTCACGCCCCACCTCCTCCTCTTCCTTCTCCTCCATCCTCCTCCTCCTCCATCCTTCTCCTCCTCCATCCTCATCCTTCTCCATCCCCCTTCTCCTCCCTTATCTGTCCTCTACCTCCTGCTCTGCAGGCGCCGGCGGCGGCGACAGCGCCAGCGACTGCGGCGGCGACGGCGACGACGGCGCCAGCTGCGGCCAAGGCGACGGTGAATAACGGCGACGACGGCTCGACGACGACGACGACGACGACGACGACTCTGACGACGACTCTGACGACGACGACGACGACGACGACGACGACGACGACGACGACGACGACGACGACGACGACGACGACGACGACGACGACGACGACGACGACGACGACGACGACGACGACGACGACGACGACGAGTCGCTCCGAGGACCTGCCATGACCTCCAAATGCTTGCTGAGAGCTGTTCCTCCCCAGCTCAGTTTCGGCATGCGGGGGGGCGTTTTAGGGACCCATGGCCTTCGGAAATCGATCTGGGGTGAAAAGCTGGCCGGGATGGACCCCGCGAGCGTGGCCCGTCCCAGCCAGTTTCTCGCTCGGTTGGTGACGGCGATGGTGATGGCCGCCGCCGTCGACGACGGCCGCCGCTGCCGCTGGCAGCGGCCGCGGCGGCGGCCGTCGCTGTCGCTGTCGCCGTCGTCGTTGTCGTCTTCGTCGTCTTCGTCGTCGTCGCCGCCTCCGCCGCCGCCGCCGCCGCCGTCGTCGTCGTCGTCGTCGACGGCGGTGGCGGCGGCAGTCCCCGGTCGGCGGTTGCGAAGCGCCTGCTGCCGGCCGCACCCGGCAACGAGGACAAGTGCGGAGGAGGAGGCGGGAGGAGGCGGGAGAAGGAGGGAGGAGGAGGAAGGAGGAGGGATGAGGAGGAGGCGGAGGAGGAGGAGGAGAAGGAGGGAGGAGGAGGAAGAAGGAGGGATCGGAGGAGGAAGGAGGAGGAGGAGGAGGAGGAGGAGGAGGAGGAGGAGGAGGAGGAGGAGGATGGCGGAGGAGGAGGATGGCAGAGGAGGAGGAGGAGGAGGAGGAGGAGGAGGAGGGGGAGGAGGACCAGTGTAAACCCAAGAGTCATCAACGATGTTGGAGTAAACCCTCCCTCCAAGCTCCCTCTTCATAGGCCCCTACAACGGTTCACATACATTGATAGAACTGCCTCGTTGGAAGACGCCCGTTTGAAGACCCTGAAGCATGCCAACACATTGTTCTCGGGATTTCAACGCCACGCATCAACCTGACGGTTGCGTCTTGACGATCTTGAATCGTACCAGAACGCCATTCCTAGGATGTCAACGCAGAAAATCAACGTAACTTTTGCACCAGCATAATCTTGAATCTTTCCAAAACACCATTCCTGTTCTGTTGATGATGGGATGCCGTGAAGCACTTGCAAACTTTGTAAACGAATGTGCGCGGCGCTAAGGCGGGAGCCACATTATGAAAAGGAACCACCCGCAATACATTGAACTCTGGCATTTTTTTAGTCCGAATGTGCGCGGCGCTAAGGCGAGGGCCACATTTTGAAAACGATCCGCCTTCAATCCGTGAAGCACTTGCAGACTTTGTAAACGAATGCGCGCTGCGCGGCGCGAAAGCCACATTTTGAAAAGGAGCCGTCCGGTATCCGTGAAACTCTTGCAAATTTTCAAAACGAATGTGCGCGGTGCTCAGGCGAGAGCCACATTTCGAGAACGATCCGCCCTCAATCAGTGAAGCTCTTGCAAATTTTCAAAACGAAGGTTCGCGGCGCTAAGGCGAGAGCCACATTTTGAAAACCACCCGCCCTCCATCTGTGAAACTGTTGCCATCACCAAGCTTCAGAATCATAAATGGTGAGGGAATCTTAGGCGAAACGCCTGGGCCGCCCTGAAAACTGGCCTCGGGGGAGGAGGAGGAGGAGGAAGAAGGAGGAGGAGGAGGAGGAGGAGGAGGCTGATCGAGGAGAAGGATGGCGGGGGAGGAGGACGCAGGCCCCAGAGATCCAATGTCGTGATCTTTTCAATGCGCGGTCCCCGGAAGTCTCGACCCATTCCCCAGGACCGGCTGTTCATCCCGAGTCGTATTCTGACGGTCCCGAGGCCCGACGAGGGCCCCTGGGGGCCGAAATTTGCGAAAAACCTCCGTTAGTGGGCCACATGCGAACCCTACCCCTGCCCCCCACGGTTTCGGAGGGGGAGGGTGGGGTTCGCATGTGGCTCCCTATCCGTCTTGATTTTTCAGTGGGTTGGATCTCCGGGTATGCCGGGCAAGTTTCACGCTGTGCAAGTTTCACGCTGTGGTGGAGCGTGCTGGCCACGGCATGCCCAGGCCACTGATGTCACCTCCTCCTCCTCCTCCTCCTCCCCCTCCTCCCCCTCCTCTCCTCCTCCCTCCTCCTCCTCCTCCTCCTCCTCCTCCCCTCCCCTCCTCCTCTCCCCCCTCCTCCTCTCCTCCCCTCCTCCCCTCCCCCTCCCCCTCCCCCTCCCCCTCCCCCTCCTCCTCCTCCTCCTCTGCCCCCCCCGCCTCAGGACGAGTGCGGCGGGGGCAGCGCGTGGGCGGCCGGCCTCATCGACGGGCTGGCCGGGCGCCTGCGGGGCGCGGCGCCCGCCCGGGCCTCCGGCGGGGAGGCCCCGCGGCACCCCGCCGCACGCACGGGGGGCGGCCGCCGGCCTCTTTCAGGAGGGAAACAAAAACACACAGACACAATTCATCGGCGATCCCCAGAAAATATGGGAAAGTATGGGAAGTGGGGGGAAGACAAAAACCCAGAAAATATGGGAAAATATGGGGGATATTTTTATTTGTGTGTATTTGTTTGTGTGTCCCAGTTCCCCTTCACTCTTGGGGGGTGCGAGGCTCGAAATGCAGAGGTTCTCGGAGATCGTCGATTTCCTCGGAGAGTCTCGGAGATGCGAGGTTCTCGGAGATCGCCGGAGCTCGTCGATTTTTCCTCGGATTGGGGGATGCGAGGTTCGAAATTCCGAGGTTCTCGGTTCTCGGAGATGCGAGGTTCGAAATTCAGAGGTTCTGGGAGATCGTCTCGGAAAATATGGGAAGTGGGGGAAGACAGAACCCCGGAACAGATTGGAAGATGTGGGGAATCCTGTTCATTTGTGTCTGTTTGTTTGTGTGTCCCAAGGCCCCTTCCAAAGGTTCTCGGAGGGGGGGAAAACCACAACCCACCAAACCACCCCAACCCAACCCGAAGGCCCCATTCTGCTTTCCATTCCCAGTGGAAGGGGGTGGGGGCGGGCCGTCGGGGAGCAGTGAAATAACGCATGGAACCCGTACCCCCGCCCCCCACCAGATTTTTGGGTCGTCGGGTTGGGTTGGGGTGGTCTGGTAGGTAGTCAGAAAAAGGTACCCCCTCGCCCGTTTTTCCACCCTTTTCGCCCTCTTGGGAGGCCCTCGTCGCCACCGTTGGATTCGCCTCGCACGTCTGGTCAGAATACACTGCGGGAAAGGTCTGGGGAGTAGCGGTATTGGTACCCTTTGATTTCCCCAGGTTGGCTGCTCCGCTTGCCGCTTTCGCTTGCGGAGCACTCTCCCGTTCCTCCTCTCCTCCTCCTCCTCCTCCTCCTTGCCCCTCCTATTCACGCACAGGTGAGGTTCCTGTGCACCCCTTCCTTTGAGTTCGGGTCGACACTGATGAAGCGAGCGAACCTTCAGGCGATTTCGCTGCGGGAGGGAAAAAAAGGTCGAGATTCAGGTTCGATGTTTTTAGACGTTTCCGTTGGTTCCTGGGGGTTCTCCGGCCTCGGGATGCGTTCCAGCAGCTGCGCCTCGCTGGGAGCGTCCTCGGCCTCGGGGGGCCCTCGCTGGGCTCCAGGACCGTCAGCACAAGCACCCGCGATGTAAGAGGGCGGCCACGAGGGGAGTGCCATGGCTATAGGAGCGGGGGCCGTGGCTGGGGATGGTGCCCCACCCCGGTCGTGGCGCCCGGGAGATGTCGCGGCCGGGGCCGTGGTGTCTGCCCAGCTGCCGCGGCCCCCGCTCCTGCCTCTCCCCGCGGCCCCCGGCGCCCCCGGGGCCGCGCACGCGCCTCGGGGGCCACGGCCCGCGGCCCCCCTCCCCTCCTCTTGGGCGCCTCCCTCTCGGGCGCCCCCCGACGCACGCTGTCCCGAGGCGGTCCTCCTCGTGGCTGCTCTGGAGCGTTTCTTCGGCAGGCGCTCGGTCGTCCTGGCCGGGCGCGGGGCGCTCGGTTCTGGCCTCGCTTTCTCTCTCCTCGTCGTTTCGAGGCGGCCCTCGTCGTCAGTGCTTTGGAGCGTTTTCCTGCAGATTCGCGGCCGTCCTGGCCAGGCGCGGCGCTCGATTCTGCTCTCTCTCTCTCTCTCTCTGTCCTTGTCGTTTCGAGGCGGTCCTCGCCGTCGATGCACTGGGGCCCACGAGGGGCCTCCAGAAGCGCATAGAAGGGCCCAAAGCTTCAGAAGCCCTAGACCGTGGATCGCGGGTCCCAGATCTCCAACGACTCATGGTTTTGGAGGGGTGCCCTCATGTTCTTCGCCGTTGGGCTCTCCACCTTAGAGACCGCTCTTCGTGCTGGATATCTCCATGGGGCCTTGGGGTCTCGGTCGGCGGAAGGGCCCATGCTCTTGATCCGCGTTCTTGTGACCTTGTCTCTCATTGCAGGTCCCAGATCGTGGGCCCCAGATCTCCAACGACTCGATGTTTTCGAGTCGCGGGTCCCCGCACGCCTCTCGACTCATCCCTGGGGACGCCGGCTGTTCATCCTGAGGTGTTATTTGACGGTCCCGGGGCCCGAGAACAGCTTTAAGATGCAGGGCATGCAGCCTCAAGAGGTCATAACTCAGGTCTCCAGCGGCCGTTCGGGACGATCTGGGACCCCCCGGACGCCTTTCAGCGAGGCGCAGCCCCTGGAGAGCACCCTGAGGTTGGGAAACCACCGCAATCCGACGAACGATACCGCCCGAATACCCCGAACCTTTAGCCTGTCGTCCCCAGTGATCGGAGAATCCATAAAACATATAGTAATGCCAAAAAACAGCAAGAGTACTAGAATGGTAACAATCATCATTGTCACAATCAAAATAACAATATCAATACTCATCATACTTACAATAATCAGTCTAATCAACATACTAATAGTGGTCGAGCTAACATGAATACTACGAGCAATACTTACATATATGTATATATGTATAGATATTGCTGTTAGCAGTCCTGATTAATAACACTACTCGTACTACGAGCACTGTGAATATTAATGACACCAAAATTAACAAGGCCACCAGTCGTAATAACACTAGCAATATTAATATTACAGTTAATCATACTAATGTTCAACCATACGAATTATATAATGAAGAAGAAGATGAACACTTAGGGACATATGAGCTGCATACACATGGACCCTCGGAGCTCCGAACAAATCCTGGCCCGTTTCCCCAGGGCCAGTTTTTCGTTCTGGGCTGATGTTTTACAGTGCTGGGGTCCAGCAAGGGCCCCCAGAGGCTGAAAGTAGTGAAAACCTCCATCTTGAATTTTTCAAGACGCTGGACGTCTGGGTCAGGAGGTCGGAGATCCTGGATCTTCGATCCTCCTTGGGATTTTGGATCTTCGATGCTGGATCTTCGATCCTCCTGAGGATTCGTGGAGGAGGGAGGAGGGTAGGAGGGAGGAGGGGGGGAGGAGGAGGAGGAGGGAGGAGGAGGAGGGAGGATGGAGGAGGAGGGAGGGAGGAGGAAAGGAGGAGGGGATCCTGGGTCTTCGATCCTCCTTGGCGGAAGGCGGGCCCCGCTGGCGAGGTCACCCTGCCTGCTGCTGTAGGGGAGCTCCTTCGGCGAGCGGACCTGCTGGCTGCGATGTGCCAGGATCGCTGGCCCCCCCGCCCAACACCAGGGTGTTCCCCTCCGCCCCCTTCCTTGTCCCCCTCCTCCTCCTCCTCCTCCTCCTCCTGCTCCTCATCCTCCTCCTCCCCTCCCTACACACATACACACACGCGGCGAAACCCGAGCCACCGAACAAACCGACGCTTCAATGTGTCGCAAGTCGCGAATAAGCTGCACGCGCTCAAGGTGCATCTGGAGAGGAGAGGGCGAGAGATCACGCTGTCGTTCAGCGAGGCCTTCATGCGCGCCATGCCGCCTTCAAGCATCACGTAGAGCTTCTGGAACGCGTCCTTCATGTCGTAGTCGCCAGCCTTCTGCTGCCGCTTCTGCTCCCGCAGCTTGGTTTCCCCGCTGAGTATGTCTGCACGGAGATCGGGAACCAGCGCCTTGAGGTCGTGAATCTGCTCGTCCAGCTGCGGGGCTTCCTGCAGCCCGAGGTCGATGTCTGATGTCTGCGTGCCCTGGTCCTGCACTGCGTCGATGTCCTTCTCACGCGGCTCGTCGGTGCGCCCGAGGGGCTCCTGCCCTCCATCTCGGTGCCGTCGAAGTGGGACGTGCTGGCTCCGCCGAGGGCGGCACGAAGGTCCTCTCCCTCGAGGGGCGCGTCAGGGTGGCCCACGCCGTTGCGGACCTGGCTGAGTTTGCCCAGCCTCGAGGCTGGCCCACTCGCGCTGCGGTCCCGCAACATCTCCTTGGCCTCCTGCGCCGAGGTCTTCTCCTCGTCAGCCTCCTCCCTGCACGCCGCGAGGGCCGCCTCGGGTTGGATCAGGGGGTCGCCCACCGCGGGATGCCCTGCACCTCCAACTGCAGCGACTCCGGAAGCCGCACCGCGGGCCGGCGCCGGCGCCGCGGGCTGGCGGGGCGCCGGGCCGCGCTGCAAGAGCCGCCTTGGCGCCGGAGGCAGCTTGGGCCACTGGGCCGAGCTGCGAAGCGCCGCCATCGCAGAGTGCCATCGTGAGGAAACAAGGGAAATGGTGCCCGACCCGCGTGCTCTTGCCGTGGCCGCTCAGCGCCGAATGCGGATTCTTCCGCACCTCCTCCTCCTCCTCGTCGTCGTCATCGTCGTCGTCGTCCTCCTCCTCCTCCTCTTTCTCCTCCTCCCCCTCCTCCTCCTCCTCCTCCTCCTCCTCCTCCTCCTCCTCTTTCGTTTCGGCCACATATCCTGATCGCTTTGCGGAGCTTGTGCGCAGACGCTTCCAAGCATGGTTTGACCAGGAGCAGGTCCCGTCATTGCCAGAGCTCCAGACCCGCTGGGAAAGGTTCAGAGGTGTCCTTGCTAAATCGTCTCTCTCGAAGGTCTGGGCCCACCTGAAGACTTTGGCAGGAGGCTGGATCACTAGCCACAGGGTGAAGATCCTCACTCCCCTGCCCTGTAGACTTGGTTGTCCCTCCTGTCCTGACTCCTTCGTTCACTACCTCTCCTGTCCTCGATTGCTCTACCTGATTGCTCTCCCGCGTCTTTCCATTCCCGCCGTCCCCCCCTTCCCCTGGCTTGGCCTTGGATCGGGGGAGGAATATGAGGGCGCAGATCTCACGCCAGAGATTGCCCATGACTTGACCGCTCTTGCTTATTGCATATTCCATAACATCCGTGCCGAGCTAGCTGTAACCTCACACTTGTTCGGCAATCTGAATCATCACTTTTCAACGCGTCGTGCGGCTCTTCTGAGGCACTAAGACACGGTTGCC